AAGCTTACAGGGACAAAAGCAAAAGGGACTTCAATCAACACCACGGAGTTCGCCAGAAAACATTTGGAGAAAACGATCATGTGTACGTAAAGATGCACCGTCGAAACAAAGAATTCTGGACACCGGGCACCATAAAGAACCGGGACAACGCCTTCTACGACGTTAAGGTCGAGAACAAGGTAACAAGACGACACGCTAACCAACTGAGACAACGTCACGCTGACGCCTCAATCGGCTCAAGACAAATGATCAATGGATTCCAACTAGCGTTCGATCTACCTCTGCCAAGTGAGCAACATTCTTTCTCCATCAAAGGGAAGAGAGACCCAGTAGGTCCAAAAACACCCATCAAAACACACTATGATACACTCCAAACACCCAAACGAACACCACAATTTATTCCAAAAATTGAAACACTGATGAAGAAACTTAGAACAGTGGAAAAGAAACATGGTGTGAATGTTACTCAACAAGATAAAGATGAACTCATGATGAGTATTCAGGAGTTAGAGAAAGAAATCGCTAACAGCGACGATGTTGAATTAAAAGACTTGGTAGATAAAACCAACGCCCTCGTTACGATCATGGGACATAACACCACGACCGCGGAGCTGAGATATAGGATCTCTCAAGAAGACACTGATCCTGAAGAGATGTCAAACCTAATGCAATCTCTCTCCCTCGCTGAAGAAACCTGCCGCAAGAGCTTGACATAACTGAGATACTGGAGCAATGTGAGGTAGTGAATACCCAATCTCTAGTAGCCGAGCTTGCCGAAGCAGCCGTGAATGTTAACATCAACCAAACGTTCTCACAAGAGTCTCTGGGCTTACAAGACAAGTCCCAAGAAGTTCAACAAAGACTCATTCAGCGCGATCTTCAAAAGAAGAAAAGGAGAACTTCAAAGGAACTTATTCGAAGCATCATCATCCGAAGAAGATCCAGCCAGCGGAGTTCAGCCCATCCCAGAAGATCGTGATCCAGACAATACTACCCCAGAGGATGCAGGAAACGAGAGCGACGACAACGAAGAGGAACCGACAACACCGGACGAAAACCTTCTCGAGACGTCGATCTTTCAGCACCAGCAAATGGTCTCCTTCAGAGTAGACGGAAAGGACTACGAAGAAGAAAACACCGAGACCAAACGAACCAAAAGGATTCGAAAACATCCTTCCTTCCTCGATGTCACGCATACTAATGCCCCGCGATATAAGTCCTTAAAGTTTGACTAAACCAATTGCTCTCTAAAGAAAGGGAGATGTCGCGGTCGGCTTTCCAGCCTAACGCGTAGACTGGGAAACTGCTAACCAGATTACAACGATTCTGAGTCAGCATAGCGGATATCGAGATGTCAAGGTTAAAAGTGGCCCTTGCTCTAGAGAACTATAAAAGGAGCCACCGATCCCAGAATAAACAAGTACGAGCAAGTACGAGCCAAGTACGAGCTGAGTAGTAACCAGGTGAACTCGACGGTGTCTTCCTTGATGTTCCAAAACCTACCGCCTTACACCACAACAGACTGTTAAGTCGTCTTCCAGCTGGAAACCGGCCTCGTTCATCTCATAGACAATCTTTTTGAATGCAAGGAGATTTTGTTGAACTGACGCTCCTGGTTGATAGCGGAACCTCAGGAACTTGGCCATAGACAGACTCTTTCTGGTACCGTCAGCATGTTGGAAACGAATCTTGATACGGCGCCAGATCTCTTGGGCCTCAACATCCTCAGCGTTGTCCAAGAAGAGGGTAACCGCCAGATCGGGGTGGATAGAGTTGATGAGGATGTACCTCGCTGCTCTGTTCCCAATCAGGAAGTTCTGCTTCTGCTTTTTGCCTTCGGGAGTCGCGGCAGTGGCGGAGTCAGGCATGTTCAATCGTCCGCAGACGACATCCCATGCAAAGAGCTCTCCGTCCAGGACTGAGGGCAGGATGGTTTTCCATGGGATGAAATTCTTCCCATCTGGTGCCAGGATGATACTGCTTGCAACACGTGGTCGTGGGCCGCACACGATCGGCTCATTGGTCGAGACTTGTTGCCTCGGTTGGTCTTCTTCTTCGCCTACATCTACGTAGCCGTGAGGGGCTCTGTAGTCTCGAGAGGTGGGCATTGTTGATTCACTCTTGCACTCGGAGAATTTTCACTAGGAACACGGAGCAACAATCGTGCTGATAACGCGAATAGTTTAATGTCCACCTATCGATACTTCGGCTAGCAAACACATTGGGTAACTGGCGACCTGATGGGGATTCTTTATTCCATCCTTATATAGTGGTCCAGTGAAAAGGGTTACATTGTAACAACTGCTCGGGGTTAGCTAATTGTTCAGATACTGAGGGTTACAGAAGAACACTGACAATGAAGCGTGCGGAAGGGTTGAGAAAATACCCAGGGACGTTCCGCTCTGGTGAATTCACTAATTCTAGCCACAGGGATTTCTGGGCGCATACTAGACTGAAGACTCAATATATTTCATCAAGAGATAAGAGAGAAAGCCTGGCGATACAGTCCGCAGAGATACTCTGCCTCTCGTCGATGTCTCTCCAGAGGCAGAGCGGCTCACTGAGCCAATGGGAAAAATTCAATCGCCAGAGCGAAGCGGAAATATCGTCGAATGGATCATTCCACCGAAGAACATAGAGGAACAACCGCGGATCAACAAAAACATGGAGACTTCGAAAAAGGTTGAAGTACGTAGGTATTCTAGATTTCATTCATGTACACAGACCGACTCTTCGACATCACTATCCGAGCGGCTGTTGAAAATAGAGAAACATAGATCTCTCGTAGCTCGAGAACATACGAGATGTATGCTCCCCTCTAGAGCTACCTGTCATCGGTGCGGAATCATTCTAAATGGAATAAGCCGTCTTCAAGAGAAGCTAGCTAGAAGTCAGCCGGTCTCGGATTCTCATATCTATCTACATCCGGGTCTCATATGCTCCGGTTTGCGAAACAGTACGGCGGACACAGACAACACATCGCCGACCAACTCATCGCCGGAATCTAAACGACGACTTCTCAACGCCGGATAGCTCAGCGCCGAGACAACTCAACGCCGGACAACCTAACGCCGGACAATTGATCGCCGGTCAACTCAACGCCGAGGACCTGTCGGGTCCGGTCAACTCAGCGCCGAGAACCTGCTGCTAACTCGATCCTAGCTTAGGAGGCACACTGCTTGAAAATGATGCGTCCAGATGATTTGCTATCCCAAGTACACAGCTTGACGATATGTACTTCCAGACGAGTCAACGACTTCCACCCGTTTACAGTAGTCGACTACTTACGCGGGTGCGCGAAGACTTCCTTATGAAACCTTGGATGACTGCGTGCATGTCGGCAAAAGCTCGATAAGAAGTACCTAAACGGACGAGGTCGCTGAACACTGCCGAGGTCCTGGCCGTCCTAGCAGATTCTACGCTTAAGACTTGTCATAAGGTTATGTGAGAATAAAATGACACAAATATGACGAAGCAGGAACGCATCATCTGATTTAAAGTGAACGCATCATATTCGCGCAAAGAACATCCGGAGCAGGCTAAGTTTCGGCGTTGAGTTGACCGGCGATCAATTGTCCGGCGCTAGGTTGTCCCGGCGTTAGCTTGTCCGGCGATGAGTTGTCATGTACCGACAGTACGGAGTTGAGAATCAGAGCGGCTCCGCATCCGCTTGCCCCTGTGTTTAATTATGGGGACCCATAGTGTACGGGGTACGGGGGTGTGCTCATCAATCAAACAAAAGGGGTGCCGGATCGGCGCCTAAACATAGTTTTTTTTCTGAACTCTACCGTGTTTCCCCGAATATAAGACCTCACCCGAAAATAAGCCCTGCCTACATTTTCGAGCTTAGCGTTAAAATAAGCCCTTTCCCGAAAATAAGCCCTGGTTGGCCAGGAGTAGGTTCGGTTTAGAGCTCGGATTTGTTCAAGTCGAAGGCTCTCCTTTTCCTGATTGCGCACCGCGAAGGAAGCACTGACATGAGACACGTTCGAAATGAAAGCGAGACGTGGGTGCATGCTGAAAGCTGTTTACGATTCGACCTTCTCTCGCTGTCGTTTCAAACGCGTCGTGACTCTTCGGAACAAAGTGCGTTCCGATACTGGATACATTGTGTGGTGTTGAGAATGAAGCGGAAAAGTTATACTCTCGATTATAGGCAGGGCATTCGAGGAGAATGCCGCGGCAAAAATTTAGCTCAGCTCTGCAAGGAAAGGAAGCTCGATCTTCGTGTAACAATGTCTGTTGGCGCGCCATGTTTCGAATAGAAAGAGAGTCTGTTCTTGAGTGTAGAGGGCGCTTAAGTAGCAGACGATGGAGAATGATTACAGAGAGAGATTCATTCAGAGTCTGATGGCGGTAGATGACAGAT